TGAGTTCACAGCTCTGGTTGGGTTTATCCCAGGCACATGCAGGGCTAGGACCTCCAGGGTCCCTCTCAGGCAGACATTGGGTGGGAAGGGATCTCCGTGATCCCAATCCCACGCACGGTGCAGTGGGACTGGGGGCAAAGCCTCCCCAGCTCTTCCCTGAAAAAGCTGCTCAGTTTTTGAACTCTCTGCTTTTTTCTCTTTTCTTTTTTCACTGCAAACACTTGAAAGGCCCCGTTCTTCCCTCTGCTGTTCCCAGCAGCCCCCCTCGCTCTGCCCCCCTGGCCTCCTCTCACCGCGGTCCCCAAGCAGAACTTGGGGGGGGGTTGGTGACACCCCAAGTTTGGCTCTGCATTTTTCTTTGTGCAACTTGGCAAAAAGTGGCTTGGGGGGGAGAGAATTAACGTGGTGTTTGGAGGATCAAGAGCAGGTTTTGCTTCGGGGTGCCCATGAGTACCCTTGGGGTGACACCACAGTGGGGTACCAGCCCTGCAATAGGGTGCCAGCCCTGAAATGGTGTGCTGGCCCCAAAATGGGGTGCCAATGCTGGAACGGGGTGCCAGCAGTGCAGTGGGGTGGAGGAAGCTGGGGCTCCTTTGGCGGCGTTTTCGGCAGCACTTTGGTGGGAATCCTCTCTGAGGTGCCTCATGCCCAGGCCTCGACAGGCTCCTCTTGCATTTAAGCAAATTTGGTTTTCTTCTGTGTGCTAAAGCCTCCCCATAGCCCGGAGTGGGCTCAGGATCCACCTCCGGATCCGCAAACAGGCTGAAATAACAGCTCCGGGGGTCCCCATTTGTCTCCCCGTACATCCCATCTCATCCCGCTCTGTCACCCCGTCCTGTAATATCTCAGCATCTCCCTAAAGCAAAAGATGACAATAAAGTGTAAATGGGGAGTGTTGGCTCTGGAGTGTAATGATGGCAATTTAGATGCCAGCCGTCATTTCCCCGCCGTTGCCCCAGGTAACAGGAGCCGCCGAATCCGGTGGGAGCGCGGCCGAGGCGGGACGAGGTTACCTCGGAGGCTGATGGCTGTCCTGGGATTTTCTGTCATTTACCTTGAAAGGAGGGAAAGGGAAATAGCCGTAAATGAAGGTGTTTGCCTTGGGAGCGCCAGGCTGAGTCGGGCCGGGGGTGCTGCTCCCCCATCCCAGCTGGGCCAGCACCGGTCTGTGACCAGCTCCAGGGCTGGCAGGGCTGGGGAGGCACCCACTGGTTCTGCATGGAATTTGCATCCATTACCCACAGTGCCCACCACACTCCCCATCCCCATCCTCGTCCTCATCCCCATTCCCATCCCTGTCCCTATCCCTGCTCCCATCCCTTTCCCCATCCCCAATCCTGTCCCCAGGAGAAAGAGAAAAGGAAAGGAAGAGAAGGCAAGACAGGGAAAGAGAAAACCGTAACGAGCATGCCTAAACCACCCCGTGCCCACCTCCTGTGCCCCCTGCCCTGTGCCCGTCCCACCTCGCTCCTTCTTTATTTTTTTAATCAGCCGCGTCGCTTTCCCGGGGCCGAAGCCTTTCCCAGCCCCGCACTCAGGAAACCTCATTAACACAGATCAAAAGGAGCTTTTAATGATTTATAAAGGTGCAGTAGTTTGGAGAAATTAAATAATTTAGGTGCTGTGTGTACGGCGGGTCCCCCCGGACCGCATTACTGGCGCTCCGTGAGCCGCGGCACCGGGGACAGCGCCGGAGCCTCTGGGGACCGGGACTCAGCACCGCCCCCGCCCCGGGGGCTGGGGACGATGGAGATGGGGTGTCCCCTGAATGTCATCTCATCCCTGCCAGCACTGGGGCTCAGCTGAGTGGGATGCTGGGGACCCCCAGCACAGCCTGGAGGGGGTTTGGGATGCACTGGGTCCTGGGGGTGCTGCTGAGGTGGCAATGCTTGCTCCCTGCCACGGGAAATGTTTGCCAGCATGGTTAAAATAAACCTTGGCCCTGGTGGGATGGGGTGGTGGGATGGGGGGCAGTAGGATGTGCTGGACCCACACTGGGTGGAGATGGGTGTCCGGGTGCATCCAGCTCCAGCACCGTCCTCTCCTGGCCTGCTCAAGTGGCTTTTGCCTCTTGAGCAGGGACGATGGATCTGCCTCCAGGACACTGGGACCGACACGTGGCCCAAATTCTCCCCGACAGCCTTGCCTGGCTCCCGCCCGGCGCTGCCGTTCGTGTCCCGCGGGGCGACACTCGGCTTCGCTCGGCTCGGCTGCCCGAGGAGAAGGAGAAACAGATGCAAAACCAGCTTAAACGTTCCCGGCGTGAAGTCCATTGCCGGCCAGGACTTGCCAGGCCCCAGCCAAGCAACAGGATTAATGCAGGAAAGAGCCCCTGGCAGGGGCCAGTGGGCACCTGCACCCCAGGGGCCGTTCCCCACCTCCCCCCGGCTCCGGGAGCTGCTTTGTGCCCATTTCCCAGGGGGGGACCCGGCTGGGGTTGGGAGGGGTGAGGGGGGCGCTGGCATCAGCCCCTCTGCAGCTGAATTCCCATCAGGTTGTGTTTAATAGCGGGGAGAGGGCGGCAGGGCTGGGGGGCCGGTTTGGGGGGGCGGCGGGGGAGCTGCTGTGTTTTATTTTGCTCTGTAATAGGCTTATTACTCCTGATCACGCTGTGACTATTTGAATGAAGGAGATTTCGGGAGATGAAAGCGGAAGGGAGATTTTAAGTCTCTCAGTGCCTGGCCCTGCAAGGACGGGTGCCCTTGGAGAGGGGGGGGACCCCATACCCGGGACCCCCTGCCCCAATTCCCCCCTCGCCTCACTGCCCCCACGAGCCCTGTCCAGCCCCCACTGGTTACAAACCTCCTAATTTCCAGCCTCAATTTATTCATGGCCGGTTTATACCCATTTGTTTATGTGCCAACACCGTTCCTCAGCTTAAATAGCTCTTTTCCATCCATAATATCCCCCCCCCCCTTATTCCAGCGGGCGCAATCATATCTCTTTTCAAGCTGTTCAGGAAAGAAAAATCTGAATTATTTAACCCTTGGGACACTGGCTGGTCTCGCAGGGTGTAGAGAGACAAATCCGCTTTGTTCCCACGCTGGGGCACTGCCTGAATTTGGGAATTTTTGGGGGATGCTGCTGCTGCTCAGAGGGGAAACTGAGGCACCGGGTGCAGTTGAGGGGACCAGGGCCAGGGTTGGGGCACAGGGTTTGCTCTCCTGGCTGGCTCTGACCCACAGGGGCTGGGGGGCTGGGGCTATCGGGAAGGTTTTACCTCTCCATGGTGAATATCCAAGAGATAAAAACTTGGGAAACCAGTGTGCTTCCAGCAGGGAGATGCCGCCCTGCCCGTTGGGGGGACCATGGCACTGGATCCAGTGATGATATTGGATGGAGTGATGGCATCATCCCCATCCCTGGCATCATCCCCGGTGATGGGATCATCCTCTTCCCGTGGCATCAGGTTGGGATGCTCTGGGGGGAGCCCAGGACCCCCTGCAGAGTGGGGTGCCCCATGCTGGGGGTCCCCACATCTCCCTGCAGTCCCCCTGTGAAGGGTGACCCCCTCCCCAGAGCCCCCCAACAGAGGGTGACCCTCTCCCCGTAGCCCCCCCCATGTCTGTCTCCATCTGGGCCATTTATCAGCTTTAATCAGCTTTAATTCAGCAATTTGTCAGGCAGGCAAAGGCCCTCACAGTGAGTTTTTCCAAAAAATATAATAATAATTATTATTATTCCCCTGATACGTGGGCCCCCCTCCCTTGTCTTTGCTTGGGCTTTAGTAACGATCATTAAAATAAATAATTTTTTTAAATAAAAGGCAGCAAGAAGAGGGGGTTTTTTTGTGGGCTTTTTTTTTTTTCAATATTTTTTATTGTTCTCTGTGCGTTTGAAAATTGTTTCCCAGTAAATTCCAGCCCTTTGTATTAATTTTACATTTTCCAATGTTACCTTGCCAGGGGCAGGGTTGGCACAACTGGCTCGGGAAAGGAGAGGGAAGGAGAGGGAGAAACCCTGCTCCTTAATTAGCGCGCTCCCTATGTGATCAGAGAGCTTATGAGGCAGGTAATGAGCTGGAGGGGGGCTGCAGGAGCCCCCTCCCTGCACCACCTCCCCTTTTTGGGGTGCCTTTGGGATCACCCTCCATCCCGCCGGCCCCAGGGATGCGGGATCACCTTTGGGGTGTCCGTGTGATGAGTTTGGTCCAGTCTCAGCCCCACTTACAGCTGCCACAGGCTTGGGGGCTGTCTGGGGAGCCCCGAGACGCTGCTGGGGGGTGTCCATGGGGGTACTGATCACCATCCCCATCCCACCAGGGCCGTGCTGACCCCCCTGGAGCCGTGGAGTGACCCCCATCTCTGGTCATGCCAAGGTTGGGGGGGGGCTTCCTGCTGAGGGGGGGCCATGCTGTGGAGTCTCAAATTAATTAGCAAAGAAAGCTCACTCAATAAGGAGGGGAAGCCAAGCTGCCAGATTGGCTCCTGGGGGCGCCTGTGAATTTGGCCTCGAGCTTTACCGGCTGCGGTGCCGCGAGCTCCGGGGTCTGGAGTTTGGGGAGGGGGGCACGGGGGTCACCCCAAGGAGCTGGAGCGGGGGTTGCTGGCATGTGCCAAGGAGTCCTCCAGGGCCGCTAATCCCTTAATCTCTTGGATAAGCAGTGCCAGGAACGCAAATGACACCGGGATTGTGGTGCTTGGCTGCGGCGATGCCGGCGCTCCGCCGGGATCCCCGGGAATAATCATTTTTATGTCATTTCCTACTGAGTGGTGCTGGTTTATCGGCATAAAACAAAGAGACTCTGGGTTAATCTGGAGGTTAATAGGGATGCTGGGGTGGGATCAGGCCCTGGATCACGGTTAAATACACTGGTGAGGCCCTGGCACAGGCTGCCCGGAGAGGCTGTGGCTGCCCCACCCCAGGACGTGTCCAAGGCCAGGTTGGAGCAGCCTGGGCTGGTGGGAGGTGTCCCTGCTCGTGGCAGTGGTTTGGGTCCCTCCCGGCCCAAGCCATTCCGGGGTCCCTGGTGCGCCTCACTGACCCAAATCATCCCGCAGGTTCCACCGCGGGGACTACACGGTGGAGGTGAGCATCAACGACTACCTGGACATCTACTGCCCGCACTACGAGGAGCCGCTGCCCGAGCGGATGGAGAGGTACATCCTGTACATGGTGAACTACGAGGGACACGCGTCCTGCGACCACCGGCAGCGCGGCTTCAAGCGCTGGGAGTGCAACCGCCCCGACTCCCCCAACGGGCCCCTCAAGTTCTCCGAGAAGTTCCAGCTCTTCACCCCCTTCTCGCTGGGGTTTGAGTTCAGACCCGGCCACGAGTACTATTACATCTGTGAGTGGGGAGGGGGTGCAGGCGGGTCTGGGAGCACGTCCCGGGGGTGTCCCGGCATCGCCGGCCGGAGACGGGCTCGGTTTGTGTTGGTGACCCAGAATGTTGCAGAATCCCCCAAATCCAGCTGTTCCCTGTGCCCGCAGCACATCTGGCTCGGGGCACGGATCCCATCGGCTCATACTCGCTGCCCAAAGCCTTTGTGGGGCCGTGGGACGATGGGACACTGGTCTCATCCCGGCAGGAACACCGCTGGCACCAGTAGTGGTGCTGCACCAGGGCAGTGGCACTGCCAGCCCAGGGCTCTGTTCCCCTGTTCTCCTGTGTATTCCTGTGCTCTCCCATGTAATTCCTGTGTGCTCCCATGTGTTCCCATGCTCTCACTTACATTCCCATGCTCCCGCATGTATTTCCTACGCTCTCCCGTGTGTTCTTGTGCTCCCACTTATATTCCTGTGCTCTCCCACGTATTCCTGTGCTCTCACGTGCAATTCCTGTGCTCTCCTGTGCATTCCCGTGTATCCCTGTGCTCTCCCAGGTCTGGGCTCCCCTTTCTCACCCAAACCTGAACCCCAAACTGCCCAAACTGCTCTGGTGCTGTTGGCAGGACGGGCGTCCCTGGGAGGGCATTTCCACCTCTAGAGTGTCTGCAGGGGCCAGGGCAGAGGTGGGGGAGAGGAGCCAGATCGGCTTCCTCCTGAGCTTGCTGGAGTCATGGAAAAATAATCCAGTGGTGCTGGGAGCAGGCACTGGGATAAAGCCCAGACCCAAACAAGGCTGTGTGACCCCGGTGACACCCAGAGCCAAGGACCCGCCGTCCCCTCCAGAGCCACCGCCACACTCCTCCGCCTTATCGTTTCTCCCTCTTTTTCCTAAAGCAGCTGTTTTCAGCCCACTTAATTTGTTCCTTTTATCTATATTAAATTACCATTTCCCCCTCTCTCCCTCCCCCCCCGTAAAATGTCACCGGTGCAATAACTGCGGCCACAACTCACTCTCTTCCCCCCCCCCTCTTTATTTTATTTTATTTTTTTATTTTTTAATGTCGTTAGGGAGAGATTACACAGGAGTAAATGGGAAGCTGATCATTGCTAACCCGGTTAGAATTCCCGTCATGCGGAACATTAGAAATTATGCCTCTTTGAGGAACCGTATTTAGCAGACATGAAAGAAAAGAAATTACCTCCTCCTCGAGCCCATGGAGTGGAATCCATTAACCCGCCGGCACCGGGACACGCTCGTGGCCCCGGCGCAGGTCAAGGGCACCTCGTGGCCCTGGGGACCCAGGAATGGAGCTGGGATGGGGTGCTGTGGGGTGGGATGCTGTGGGGTGGGATGCTGTGGGGTGAGATGCTGTGGGGTGAGATGCTGTGGGGTGAGATGCTGTGGGATCCCTGTGCTTGACACAGCACCTTCTCCTTCCCCACCCCCGTGGGGCACAGCACCAAAACACAAAAGAAAAGGAAAGGTTTCAAAAAAAAAAAAAACACCTCAACAAAACTGCTTCAATTAAAAAGAAAACTATAGAGAAAATTAAATTCCTTTATAAATATATATACACATATTAAAAAAATCCCATTTTCTCACCCCAAGAGGGACTTTCACCTCGATAATTACCTCAATTCCTCTCTTCCTTCCAGTGTTTATTATTGTTACTCAGTGCTTGACCCTCGCTTTGTCTCTGCCCCTCCCAACCCACTCGTCTCTCTCCGCTTTTCCTCCCCTGCAGCCGCGTCCCCCCCGAACACGGTGGACAGGCCCTGCCTGAAGCTGAAGGTTTATGTTCGGCCAACGAGTAAGTGAGAGGCTGGGGGGTCCCTGGGGTCACCCTGTGGGGTGAGAGCGGGTGGTGGCCCTGGGGATGGGGACAGGGGTGGGGACAGGGACCCCCAGCCCTGACAGAGCCATCCCAGCCTGTCCAGCCAGCGGTGGACAGATAGGGAAAAAAAATAATTAATAGCAATAATCATCTCTGCGCTGTGGCTACTTCTCCGAGTCGCATAAATCAGCCATTTAAAAAAACAAATTAATAATTTTCTTCTCCTGTTAACGTGTAATTAGCAAATGGCAGCGGCTCTCCCCGGGGACAGCGGAATGTCACCGGGTAACGGATGGCTCTCGCCTCCTTTCTTCAGTGGCTTTAAAATAAAACCCAGCATAACGGAACCGTCTGTAAAAACTCATCATGTTCCGTTCAGAACGAGGGGAAAAAATCTCTCCTGATTGAATTTTTTTAGTGTTTTAATAATAGTAGGATTTGTTTTATTTCCACCTTGCAGAGGGGAAGGGAAGGGGAGAGGGGCTGGGCCCTGGGGATGGTGAGGGGTCCCTGAGGGGGCACCTGGACACCCCTCGACTGGGTCCTGAAACATTCCCCATTGCAAATGCCTGGCACAGGGGACCCTGGTCTCGGGAGACCCCACACAGGGACCCTCCAGAATGAGGGGGAACGAGGGGATCGGATTGGTGGAGCAATGGAGCATCCCTAGACAGGACCAGGCTCTGCTTTTCCTGCCTCTAGGTCCATAAAATCCGTGGAACCGGAGCACTCTGTGCCCTCACCCAGCCTCCATCCCCGGAGAGCACCCGCCTCATCCCCACGCTGCATTCCCTGTGACACGGGGCTGTGGAGCCACCCGTGGCTGTCCCCATGTCAGGTCCCAGGGCTGGCTGCAGCACTTTTGGGGAAACTGGGATATGGGGGAGGATCAGTGCCCAGCTGCTCTCGGGACCCCAATCCCAGGGTGCCGATCGTCACCGCGCCTCTGCCCCGGCTGGGTCCAACCGGGATCGCGGCCGTCCCACCGGCTCACACGTCCCTCTCTCCCTCCTTTCCCGCAGATGATTCCCTCTACGAGTCCCCGGAGCCCATTTTCACCAGCAACAACTCGTGCTGCAGCCTCAGGGTCCCGCCGGCCGCGCTGGCGGTGGTGCCGGTCGTCTGGACGCTCCTGGCCTTGTAGCACCGACCCCAACGCGCCAGGAGCGGCTCCGCGGGGCGGGAGCAGCCCGGGGACGGATCCTGCCCACCCCGAACCACCCGGATGGTGCCTGGGGAGGTCGCTGGTGCTGCCGGTGAGGATCCTGCCGCCACGTGAAGGCCCTGCCGTGGCACAGTCATCGCGCTGGGAGCGGTGCCGGGCTGTCCCGCGGGATGGATCCCGGCTCCCATCCCTGTCCCGCAGCTCAAGCTCCGGCCGTCCCGGTCGGGCATCGCTTTTTACATTTCTAGACCAAATACAGAGTCCTCGTCCGTTTGTGGTTTTTTTTTTTATTTTTAAGGGAAAAAAAAAAAAAAGGTTTTTATTTTTATTTGTTGGGTTTTTTCCCGGCCGGGTTCCCCCCCAGGCCAGACTGACCTGCCCGGGGCCAGGCTCAGCCCCCGCCCGGTGCAGCCTCCGGATTGCCGGGACCGCCGGACACAGCGATGGTGCCAACGGCTCCGTGGGCACGGACTCCTTCCCAGCCCGGCCGCAGGATGTGACAGAGCCGGTCCGGACAGCCCTGGACACTCCCGGGCATGGGGGGTCTGGACAGACACGGCCCCCACTGAGCCCCTGGGGGGTCACCTCGTTCCCTGCGCTCGCGCCGCAGGTGGCACCAATGTCCCCCTGGAACACCGGGACAGCTCCGTGAACAGCAAAGGAAAGTGGATACAGCCGAGGGGAGCACCAGGAACGGCCGGCACGGAGGCACTGGGATGGCCAGTGCTGGGAGCACTGGGATGGCCAGCATGGAGCAGCAGCAGGAATGACCAGCTGGTGCAGGGAGCACTGGAATGGGTGGCGTGGAGAGCACTGGAATGGCTGGCGTGGAGAGCACCAGGAATGGCCGGCGTGAAGAGCGGTAGGAATGTCTGGCTGGCACAGGGAGCACAGGGAATGGCCAGCACAGAGAGCACCAGGGACGACTGGGACTGGGAGCACCGGGAATGGCCAGCACTGAGAGCACCGAGGAGGGACGGCACTGGAGGTGGCTGGCACTGGGAGCGCTGGGAATGGCTGACACTGAAAATGGCCAGCACTGGGAACACCAGGAATAGCTGGCACTGAAAATGGCCGGCACTGGGAACACCAGGAATAGCTGGCACTGAAAATGGCTGGCACTGGGAACACCGGGAACGGGCGGCTGGCACTGGGAGCACCGCCGGGCGCTGGGAGCCGGCGGGCCGGGCTCGCCCAGCCGTGGGCATCATTCCAAGGGCTGGAGCCCCTGCCGGAGCAGGGCTGAGCTCGCCAGGGCGGGAGGAGGTTGTGCCATGGATTTTCCTCCTCCGCTCTGCACCGTGTCCCCCCGATGCCTTGGGGGTCCAAGAGTCCCTCCAGGGGGGCCGTGTGCGGGACCATCGATGGTGCTCCCCATGGTCACCCCGTTGTCCCCGACATTCTGGGGCTGGGCTTGGGGATTTTTCTCTTTTCCTTTGCATTAATAAGCAAAACCCCCCAAACCCCCTGATCCGAGGTTGGCCCTGACCCCAGGGGTGGCAGATCCCCAGGGAGGGGTCCCCCCGCAGCCCCGGGGTCTGACCCCTCCTCGCCTTAAATCTGGGGCTGTCCCACCTGGGGGGGGTCCCGTGCCTGTCCCACAGAGCCCCCCCATTCCCCAGGGGGTTGGTGGTCCCAGGGGATGCCGGTGAAGGGCTCAGACCCGACCGCAGCCCCCCATTCCAAGGATCCTGGCCCTTCCCACGCCGGGGGCTCCGTCCCTGTACATACAGCACTATACTGTGAGCGGTTTTTTTTATGTATTGTTGAGAATGGATTTTATGGAAGGGTTTATCTTATTTTATTTTTATTTTTTAGACTAGGAAGCTGGAATCTCGCAATAAGCTCATCTCCACCATCCAAAAAAAAAAACCCCAGACAAACAGAAAAAAAAATACAAAAAAAAGAAAAAACCCACAATAAAAAAAAAATCGCATTCCCTGCCGTCCCTGTCCCTGTCCCCGTGTGTCCAGACCAGGTCGTGGTTCCCGAAGGTGACAAAAGCGTTGTGTTTAGGTGGGGGGATGCAGGGGGTACCCACTGGGCTCTGACACGGAGCCGGCAGCACCCGCCTGGCCTTCGGTCTGTGTTTTATATATATATAGATTATATATATAAATATCTATATTGTGTACAGCGACTGTGGGAGAGTGGAAGGACGGAGGCGGCGGCGGGGCCGGCGGTGGCGGGGGCAGGGCTGGGGGTCCCCCAGAGCAGCCCCCCCCTCCTCGGCGCTGCCCCTCCGTGCCGGTCCCTGTTGTGCCTCGCTCCGTCCTTCGACATCCCGCTTTCGTCCTCGACGTCGTGCTGATGGTAACCGGATCTATCGCCCCCCGTTTGGATTCTGTATTTTTTTATAATAAAATGCAAATAAATGTCGTGTGAGGCCCTTGCTTTGAGGAATCACTTTCCCTCCCCGTGCGGCTCCGTGTCCCCGGGGGCTCCGGCGCCGGCTCCGTCCCCGCTCCCCGTGCAGCCCCTGTCCCCTGGTACAGCAGGGCTGTGCAGCCAGACCTCTCTGCTGGGTGGTGTGTTAATTACGGGAAGGGTTTAATTACCCTGTTAATTAATAATAATGGATATTAAATTAATTAATATGCAATTGTTGATAGTGTTTAATTATCAGAGGCAATGCTGCCCTGCGGGCGGGCGCTCAGGGCTGGCGGCTCCTGCAGCTCCGGCTGCTCACCCGCCCCTGCCTCAGTTTCCCCAGGAATGGGACATCAGGCCACCAAGAGGTGACATCCCAGGAGGCCACCAAAGCCAGGACAGGCTGCTCGGAGGTGGCATCACGAAGCATCCTCTGCCAACCCCCCGTACCCCCCCAGCTCTTTTTTTTAGCTGAAATACTAAACTTTTTGTGGAGCGGGCCGTGCTCCTTCCCGGCGCTCCGTGCCTATTCCAGCATAATTAGCAGAATAGGAACAACCCGCTGGTAATTAATTGAGGCTCCCACGGCTGATCCGAGCTCTGAAGTTTTGCCACCAGAGGGTGAAAGAGTAATTTTGATTTTTAATAAGGGCCATATGTGTGCCAGGAGCGGGAGCGATGCCACCCACCGCCAGGGACGTGGGTGCTCTGCCAGTGCCAGGCTCCGGCAGAGGGAAGCACCAGGGAGAGAGCCCGGCAGGGATTTACCAAAAAGTGATTTTTTAGGCCTGTTCACAAGGCTTTTTGAGCCCTGACTCATGATTTTTTTTAACGCTGGGTGTTGGAAATAGGGAGGTAAAAATAGCAAATGGGCAGCACGAGTCTGAGACGGATCATCATTAGTAATTAATTAATGGAGTCGTGGGGTTTTAGGGCCTGAGTGGGATCATTTAGAGCCCATCTTTCATGCAGAGGCATCGAGGTTCGATGTGAGGAGTGGTGGTGATGGAGAGCTGGTCCAGCTCAGTCCTTAATATATTTAACCTTTATTATATTTAAACAGGGATGGATGGGGGCATGCGGGGCTGCAGGTGAGGCCAGGGCACATCCAGGCTCCCTGCATCTCCTCCTGGCCCCGTGCCAGGGGTGTCCCTGCGGCTCTGGGATCCCCAGCCTTGTATCGAGGGGAAGGGGAACGTGGGGATCCACTGCAGCACCCCTGTCCCACCCTCACTAGAACATGAGTGAGTGGAGCCGGGTCATTTCAGCTGATAGCTGGGGCTGAATCCATGGAATCGAGCTGGGACGTGCCATCCTGCACTGGTGCTTCCCACCCATCCAGAGCAAAGGCACCAGGGGTGGTGTGCCCCTTCCCGAGGTCTCTGTTCCCGCAGCTCCTCGCTCTGTTTCAGCATTTCAGCATTAATCGTTTTTTTCATTTAATCCCCTGGAGGCAGCGGGTGCTCCGTGCTCCGCTGGCCCGTGGAATATCCCACCTGGTGCGACCTCAGGGCTGCAGAGAGCACGGGGGGTGCAGCCCCCCTGGCCCGGTGCTGTGGTCTGGGTTTGCAGCGTGGGGAGGCTCAGGATGTGCCCGGGCAACTCCCCAGTTCCCTCCCTGCCTCCCTGCCCTGGTCCTGGCTCCCGCAGGGATGCTCAGCCAGGCACGTCCCATCCCTGGCGGGCTTTCCAGCGGGATTTTCAATATTTGTGCCTCAAAGGTGCCACCCCAGGGCCTGCCCGGGCTGGGGTGCCACGGTGGTTCCTCTGGCAGCGCTGGGGCAACCATGGCCAGCACGTGCCAAGGGAAGTGTTCACCATGAGGCTGAGCTCTTCCCGGGGCTGCTCGAGGCAGAGCAGAGAGCTGGGAACATCCTGGGCTAAAAATGATCCCTGTCCCGCTATCCAGCTTCAATTTGCTGCATTTAAGCGAATTCCCTGTGGCTGGGATGCCCCCTCCCCACCCTGTGCCCCCCCATGGCATCGTGGCCTCACATGGTGGGAGCTGCAGGGCTCAGGCTCCTGCACCGAGATGGTCACTGAGGGCCTGTTCCTGTGTCCCCCTGTCCCATCCCATCCCACTCAGGACACCACGACGCCCCACAGCCCCCCGTGCTCGCCGCGGGCTCACCGGCACCTCCCAGGCTCCGTCACGTCCCTCTGGCAGCTCCTGGCGTGGGCTCCTGCCCCGGGTCCAGCTCGCAGGGATCCCTCCTGTCCCTGCGTCCGCTCCCAGGCTGTCACCTCCGCTCCCCTCCCCGCCTGCCCCGGCCATCCCTCTCCCATCCTTATCTCCTGAGAGGTACAGGTGATTCAGCCAGGAGCGCTCCTGTGATGCTGCTGGCTGTGGAGCACCCAGGAGAATCCCAGAGCGGGGGATGATTTATGGGAACAGCGGAGAGGAGAGCAGGGAGCTCTGCGGAGGCGCCGGGAGGGATCCCCGAAACCCAGCCGGACCCTTCACTGCCTCCTGGCTGATCAGATGGGGGGCTGTGCCTGGCCCCGGGGGGCTGGGGGAGGCGGGGGGTGGCCCCCAGCCCTCTGTGCCATCCATCTCGTGCGTGGCCCAGCTGGGTGTGTAACTGTGCTCAGCGATCGAGGCTCCTTCTGTGCCCTCGCAGGCCCCGCACGCAGGAAATGGGACCATTCAGGCCACTGGACTTCAGTTTTGTTCAGCTGTGAATTCCCCCGCCCTGGGGAGAGGAGGGAGGCTGGTGGAGGGGTGGGAGGGGAGCTGCTGCAGCCCCCTGGCTGCGGAGAATCCATGGGGATCATCGAATCATCGAATCCCAGGATGGTTTGGGTTGGAAGGACCTTAAAACCCATCTCGTTCCACGCCCTACCATGGGCAGGGACACTTTCCACTAGCCCAGATTGCTCCAACCTGGCCTTGGGCACTCCCAGGGATGGGGTAGCCACAGTTTCTCTGGGAAATCCATTCCTGGGCCTGGCCACCCTCGCAGGGGGAATTTCTTCCCAGTATTCCATGGATGAGATGGGTGAGAGCACCTTGGGAGGTCACTGCATCCAACCCTCACCCAAGGCACCTTCCCTGCGCCTTTGCCCCACCCAGGCCCAGTCTGGGTGGCGGGAGAGGCAAATCCATCGCCGAGCATCCACATCCCAGCCCCCGATGCCGGGGAGTGATTCCTCCCCCAGGCACGGAGTGAGCATCCATTCCCCTCGGAGCTGCTCTCTTGCAAGGTAACCAGCATTATATCCGGCCCAATTGCTCCAGCATGATCCTCCTGAATGTTGCACAGCATGTACACGGCGTCTTATGGAAAATACATGCCCCTGGGTGAGCCTTTTAATAGCGCCGGCTCCTGCCCGGGGGGCGGGGGGGCCACACTCCGCCACGGCGCTGCCAGGGAATGATTGAAAAGTTGGGGCTCGCCGTAGGAAACCCCCTGCTGTGGGGAACAACGTGTTTTCATTCCCCTGCCAGGTAACAAATGAAAAGAATTGCGATGAATGCTAATGAGGAGGGGAGCGGACGCTGCCGAGGCTGCCGGGGCTGGAGGTGGGGATGGGGTGAGCAGGGATGGGGGGGTCTGGGCCTGGGAATGCGGGAGCTGCCAGGGGACCCCGGTTTTGCAGGTGGAAGGTGGTGGAAAACGCCCCCAGCATGGAGTGGTGGTTGTTACAGGGAGGGTGCTCTGGGGTCCTGAACCAAAAATCACTTCTTTTTACAACAAAATGCAGCTCAGGGAACAGAGCAATCCCCAAAATCCCCTTGGGGGAGCTCCCGTCCTGGGAGGAACTCTGATGCTGTACCAAAATCACTTCTTTTTGCAGCGAAACACAGTTGGGGGAACACAGAAATTCCCAAAATTCCAAGCTTCCAACTGCAGGGAGCCTGTTCCAGTGTCACAGCAGAGGTGCCATTGAGCTGGAGCAGCCAGAGAGGGGCTGAGCTGTTTGTCACCGTGGCCAGGCTGGGAAGCGGGAGGGTAAACACGGATGAACAGCCTTCACCCACTCTGGTAAATATTTTATATCCCACACCAAGAAAAGACACTCCTATTTAAATGATTTATCAGGGAAGATCATGTAGAGGTTTCCATAAAATATGTAGGGCTCCTAATCCCGACATCATCAAGCCAGGAGGACTGGAATCATTTATTACCTTCCCAACAGCCGCGCGGCCGCGGGGACACGGCTGACAAATAAAAGTGTGTTTACAGCTTTTGGGCTCCTCTGGGGAGAGGTAAATCACAGTAGGGGTGGGAAGGGGAGAGGGGGCCGGGAATGAAGCGGCAATTCCCGTCTGTCACAGCAGGGCAGGGTAGGGAGATGCTGGACACGCACGGGGCATCCCGGTGTCCCCCGGTGTCCCCGGTGTCCCTGTCCCGGTGGTCACGTGCTGGGTGCAGCAATGCTTGTTCTCCAGTGGGGTTTGGGGGTGGGCCCTGGATGTAAACCCCTGTGGGATGTCCCAGTGTGCCCAGATGTCTGTGCATGTGGAGGCCGTGCCATCTGAGATGGGTTTTCCAGGGGCATCAGCAGAGTCAGGATGGGGCCCACAGGGATATGACCCCTTCCCCTTGGGGCTGGAATCACCCCCGTACTGCCACTTGACACCTGGGAGCCTGGGAGGGTGGGCACTGGGGACAAACCCCTCTGGGATGCCCAGATGTGCTCAGATGTTGTTCAAGTTGCAGCTGGACTGGGATGTGTTTTCCAGGGGCATCAGCAGAGTCAGGATGGGGCCTGCAGGGATTCAGCCTCTTTCCCCTTGGAGCTGGTACCCATCCCGTGCTCCCACTCCAATCTCCCTTCACTGCAACCCTTGGGTCCATTTACTGAGAGCTTTCCCTGTGTTCTGCCCCTCAATTATCCCGTTTCCCCATCCTTTTGCACCCCTTTATTGAGGATTTTCCCCCATCCTCTGCCTCTCCACGATCCCATAACCCACCCCCTCCCCGCATCCTTTGGGTCCGTATATTGGGGTTTTTCCCCCCCTCACCCACTGGCACCGGGCTCGGGGGGTGCCCCCGAGAGGCAG